TATATATATATATATATATATATTACTAATATAAAATTATAACGCCCTGTACTGTAGTTTTCCAAAACTAAATTTCATTTTCTTTGACCACCAAAATGCAGTGCAAAGAATTTCAACTGTATATTAAATTAGAATTAAACTTTAGCTTGAGTTTCTTAATGAACACCGTTTTCTTTAGCTTTTAAATGTTGTTCATCTAAAACCCTTTTCAGCTTCAGTCCTATCACATTCTCAGTCAAGATATCTATAGATATTTGAAGAATTACTAAAACTATCGTATAAATGCTCTTTTATACGTTGTTCAAACGATAACATTGTAGGCAGAAAGCTATAAAACCGATTGTAAGATAACATTTTAATAAACAAGCTGCAAAAAGTATTCAAAACGTACAGCACGTTTACTAAGCATCTTTACCTGGTAGGTTTAAAATCGTTTTGATTGTAAAACGTGAGCTGTGAATTATCACCTCTAAACCTTTGTGATACTAGGTTTTACTGCTTATTTAAAAATCCTGAAAATTTGAATGCCAGAATATTTGAAGAAAACACTTGTAATAAAAACAGGTAAACGGAGCAAACTAACAAAACAAGCATAGTAATTATCGGTATTTATATATAAAGAGAATGACAATTTGTACACACATATTAAGAGGATTACAAACCGTTGTAACGACAACTTGTACACACTAATTAAGAGGATTACAAACCGTTGTAACGACAACTTGTACACACTAATTAAGGAGATTACAAACCGTTGTAACGACAACTTGTACACACTAATTAAGGAGATTACAAACCGTTGTAACGACAACTTGTACACACTAATTAAGAGGATTACAAACCGTTGTAATGACAATTGTACACACATATTAAAAGGATTACAAACCGTTGTAACTACAACTTGTACACACATATTAAAAGGAATACAAACCGTTGTAATGACAATTTGTACACACATATTAAGAGGATTACAAACCGTTGTAACGACAACTTGTACACACTAATTAAGAGAATTACAACCCGTTGTAATGACAACTTGTACACACTAATTAAGGAGATTACAAACTGTTGTAATGGCAATTTGTACACACTTATTAAGAGAATTACAAACCGTTGTAATGACAACTTGTACACACATATTAAGAGGATTACAAACCGTTGTAACGACAACTTGTACACACTTATTAAGAGGATTACAAACCGTTGTAACGACAAATTGTACACACTAATTAAGAGAATTACAAACCGTTGTAATGACAACTTGTACACACTTATTAAGAGGGTTACAAACAGCTGTAACGACAACTTGTACACACATATTAAAAGGATTACAAACAGTTGTAATGACAATTTGTACACACTTATTAAGAGGATTACAAACCGTTGTAATGACAACTTGTACACACTTATTAAGCAGTTCTCAGGCTTATGTTGGCTTTTCATGGAATATAGTTTTGTTTTTGTCCTTTATAAAAATTAAACTTTTAGTTTCGCTTGTCATTAATTGTTGTCTTTTGTTAGTGGGTGTTAACCACAAGGTCAAACTCCAAATAGGGACATTTATGTGTATGTGTCTGTTTGTCAAAAACTGATTTATCTCACTGTGAACTAACAAAAAGTCATTTTCCAAATACTTTAGATTTTTCACGAATCCAAGTAGTTTTGTAAAACACTCAAAATATTTACCACCTTTCTCATCATACACTTTCGACAGTATTTTTGTGTGTTTTATAAGTAAGTCTCCGAAAGCTGACTTCCCTTGTAGTCAGCACTTATAAGAACTTATTTATCATATTATAAAGATATTTGCACATAAGAATTTGTCTATGGTTGAACAAATGTAACCAATTTGTACATTTATATATATATATAAGCTTCTTTTATACAGTAGTTCACGAA